AATAGGAAACTAGCTGTTTTCCTTTTGAATTTTGTGTCTAACAATCATTTATAATCGAGTATAGAAGTTCTATAGTTGATCTTCTTCCAAAAAGCTTGTATTTTTCTTATTAGAGCTTTGAGAGTTGATTGGCATTGTTCCAAGGTCAACTATAGCTTTATGATAACTCTATGCCATAGAGTTATTTAGGCTTAATTTTAATAGTAATTTACTTAGTTCTTGTAGTAATACATAGAAATTAGTAAGTTTTATTTAATTATTTTAAATTAGTTAATTTTGGTGAGTCAATCTAATCTTAGTCAATTTTATGCTTAATTTGGTGTTAATATGATTAAGATAGGTTGTTGTTGATTTATTTATACTTTTGTAGGTGTTTGATGAAAGAAGAATTTTAGTAGAAGAAGAAGAGCAATTTCAAGGTGTAAACTTCTATTGCATATGTTTCAGTGTTTTGGCCATAACTCTATCTACAGAGCTCAAATGAAGTGATTCTTAAACCATTGGAGAGATAAGAGAAAAAAAATACAACTTTCATGTTTACCACTTCATCCAGTTCAGTTGAAAGGTAGTGAAAAATCTTGTTAAATTGAAATACGTGTAGTCCTAGAGAATTATGATTTCTGTTAATTAATGGGCAAGGCTACGACCCACATAGTTTGATGAGGAAATCCTAATTCGAATTGAATTCTTTCTTCACCCAATTTGGCTTAACTTTAAAGCCCTATAAAAACAACCTTTCAGGGGACTTTGAGAAGAGAACGAAACACCAGATTGACAACTACGAGTCAAGCCACAAAGTCATTAAAGTTAAGAAGAATTTAAAGGATTCAAGGAGATTTAGAAATCAAGGATATAATTCTTGAGTTTTTCTATCTTTTTATTCTCTTATTCTTTTAGTTTGTTTTTAATGTTTAAACTTTATTCAATGATAATGTGTGACTTTATGAGGAACTAAACTTTTTAATCTAACATTATGAATGAACTCAATACGTAGTCTGATTTATTTATCTCTCTTTTACTTATGTTTGATGGATTTAAGCTATTTATTTTATTCTGTTCTTAATGCTTCTAGTTGCCTAATCACTAATTAGATTGAATTGAAAACTTAAGTTAAACCTTGACGAAGGAGATTTAGATAGACCTTGAATAGAATAACGTATGATCAAATACACTTAGTTGATTAGGTGGTTTGATTTGCATATAGGATAGACATACACCTATAAGCCATACATAGCCTAAAATAGAGCACAAACTTAATGAATTTTTCTTCAATTTAATTTACATAAACATATAATAAATTAATTGGTAGAGGTATTTTTATGAGAAACTTGATAGAGACTTGTAAATAATTTAAGACTCTATGTTAGTAACTTAATCCATTAAACTAAGTTAAGACAGAGAGATAATAATCCAATGAAGTATTGAAGGATATCATAATCTTAGGTCGAGTAGTCACCCGAATTTAATAACGTAAATTCACTAATAGATTTTAGATTATTTTTATTTTTAGTTTACTAGTTTATTAGTTTTAATTATAATTTTAATTGTTTGAATAAGATTAGGGTGTTATAGTTTTAGTTGTTAACAGTAGAAATTAAAACAATTCTCCTTGGGAATGATACTCTATTCATTACTATATTACTTGTTAGCGATACGTGCACTTGCGTGAGAAATCAACAACACTTCATCAAGGTCGACTATAGGCACTATTCTAAGGTCTACTATAGGATTTATGGGGTCAACTACGGTTGTGTCTTTTCCAAGTTTTCCAACCTGTTCTTGCCCATTTTTAGATAAGATCGACTTGTCTTGCTCTAGGATCAATTGGGGCTTTGTTTCTTCAAGATTCCTTGATATTTTAGCACATAGCTTTGCCCATATCTTCCTTGTGATCAAATATTGAGTTGAAAATGAACAGCAATCCTGAAGCAATTAGTATTTTTGTTAATTAATTGGTTAAGGTCACGACTCACATAGTCTGATGAGAAATTCCTTGCTAGAATTGACTCCTTTCTTCACCCAACTTGCCGTAACTTCAATACTCTATAAAAATAACCTTTCAGAAGACTTTGAAAAAAAAAAGAATGAAACACTAGATTAAGAGTTGAAAATCAAGTCACAAAATCATTAAAGAAAAGTCTCCTTGGAGCTAAAAAAGAAAATAAAAAATTCAAGAAGAGTTGGAGATCAAGATTTTAACTCTTGGGTTCTTTTTATATTTTTATTGTTATTTTATTTTCTTAGTTTTGGTTTTGATGATTAACTTTAGTTTGATAATGATGTGTGACTTGATAGGGAACTAAATTGTTTATCTAAAATTATGATTGAACTCAATATGTAATCTGATTCATTTACCTCTTTTTTGCTTATATTTGATGGATTTTAGTTGTTTATTCTATTTTGTTCTTAATGTTTCTAGTTGATTGGCTACCAATTAGATTGATCTGAAAACCTAGGTTAAACCTTGACAAAGGAGATTTAGGTAGACCTTGAATAAAATAGTGTATGATCAAATACACTTAGTTGATTAGGTGATTCGATTTGTATATATGATAGATATACACCTATAAGCCATATGTAGCTAGGATTAAAGCTTGAACTTAATGAATCTGTCTCTAATTTAATTTACATAGACATATAATAAATTAATTGAGAGTAATATTTTTATGAAAAACTCAATAGAGATTTGTAAATAATTTAAGACTCTAAGTTAACAACTTAATCTATTAAACTAAGTTAAGAGAGAGAGAGACAATAATCAGATGAAGTATTAAGAAATATTATAATCTTAGGTCTAAAAGTCAATCAAGTTTAGAACGTAATTTTGCTGAGTAAATTTAGAATATTTTTAGTCTTTTAAGTTTTGTTTTTTAATTCAAATTTTAGTGTTTTGATAAAATTAGAGTGTGTAATTTTAGTAATTGATAATAAGAATTAATTCAACTCTCTGTGAGATCAACACTCTACTCATCGTTATATTATCTTTGCGATACATATATTGGCGTGGGTAGTAAATTTAACAACAAGTTGCTTGTTTGCTACATCTTTTTCAACTATCATCTCTTAATTATCTCTTGTTTGATTTCACTTGAAAAATGGTTCAAGTATCTCAAGATTGATTATTTGCTTGTAGTTAATTTAATAGTTTTGATAAAGAATTGCATATGCATCAAAACCTTCCTTGGAATTTCCTATACAAGCTTTGAATACAATTTACCAGACAAGGGTCGACTGCAAGATTAGTAAAGTCGACTGCAAGATGTTTAAATCACTTTAAACGAGTTCTTCACAAGTATAGTCGACTAGAAATACTTTATAATCAACTAGAAACTCTTTCTAGTCAACTACTTTAGTTGCTTTTAGTTTCTCAAGTTCCCGCATTGTGATTTATTGTTTATATTTTCCTTAAAAAATCATTTGTATTGTTTTTTACACAAGAAAATTTTTTTGTTGTAAAAAGTCTTGGTTTTTTATACTGGATTTTCAAAAGAAATTTTTAAAGTCTAATTCACCCCTTCTTGAACATTTTTTCCATTTAATCATTGAGCTAACATTTTTAATAATATTCTTTTGTAATATGATATGATATTCATATTATTTTAACATAACTAATAATTTAATAATTTTTTAATTTAAATATATTAAATATATCACATTAATAATTTGACGAAATACGTCTTATATATATTTGTCAATTTCTAACAAAATGAATTCTTTGCAAAAGTTGGTAAAGATGTTGAGTGTTTCTCACTCTTACATAAGTTCAAACTTAAACACCAATAAACTTGGAAATATTTAATTTAATTTTTATTATATTATATATAAAATAGTAATAAAATATTTATACCTAAACACTAAGGGTAGTGGAATTACTACCCAAACCTTGTCCAAAACATGAATATAGGGTTGAAATTATTACTTGAACCTACTCCAAACTCGAATATAAAGTAGCTTAACCCTATATAATTGTGTCAGGTATCCATAGGTATCTGATAATAGAGTACCTATTGCCATTCCTAGTGAAAAGAAAAAGCACTTGTACATCATGAAAATGTTAAGAAGAAGATTTCTTAAGTACCTTCATATTTAAGCCATCAAAAGATTTCTTAACTACTATCATATTTAAACTTTCAAACCAAACTTTTTAAAATATTTCAAGGTAAAAATAACCTATGAACCTCACCACTTATTTTAAGTTACTTTCACTACTATCAGTATGAAATAGTTGTTTTACTTGTTTTAGTTTTTTCTAATGAAGCAATATTCTACTTATTCTAATTATCCTCATCATTCTTTGCATAGCATTACCTTACTGTAAAACAACTAAAAATAAGTAATAGTCTAAATCAATTATCTACACTATTAATGTGCAAAATCTTTTTCATGGTAAAAAGAAAAATTCAATATTGCTAACCCAAGTCACCACCAATATACTGTTTTTATTTTTTATTTTTTTATGAAACTCTCAATTAATATCCTTGTTAAATTGCAATACATATATTTTTTCAAAATTTAAATTCAAGATTTTAAAGATGAAATTTGGAACTCTAATCACTTTAATGTCTTTCTAAAGACATGCAATTATGTAATTAGTACATAAAAAGATTTTAAAATTTTTATTTCTAATCAAAACAATGAAACACCCTTGAAATTAAGATGAACCCGTGGGTCATATGAGCTTAAAAATTAACTTCAAATTCAATTACTATTGGATTAACTCGGGGAACAAATTGGCATTGCAAACAAAGGCAAGTTCCCCTTTGCTTCTCTTCTAAGCATACAGATTATAAAAACTGATATAGTATGCTTTCTTCTTTATATTGGATAACATTGCATCTAATGGGGTCATTGCCTAATTTAAAATTCGAGCAAATTTTTCTTTGTTCTATACATCAGTTTGAAAACAAAGTACCAGAGCTGGATTGTATGGTCTTTTTATTAATGTCAATGGAAGACACATAAAAAGGAGGTACTAAAAGAAAAAGGCCAAAATATAAAAAAAAATAAATTCTTAACTCCTAATAATGGCTGGAAAGGGTTGACGAAGGAGCCATGTCAGCAGCGACTTGCCCTAGTCCCTGAACTCCAAATCCAAGTACGCCGAACGACCAAAGTCCCTGAAAATCTAGTCCTGAAACGTCCTGCAACTGAAATTCGTTCTGAACAAAGAGAAAGAGAATCAGAGAATGGGAAATGAGATTGCTTTGCCTCTGGTGGGGATGGTGTTGGCAGAGTGTGCTCAAGTTGGACTAATGATAATGGGCAAAGCAGCCATGTCCCATGGGATGTCTAACTTCGTCTTTGTCTTTTATTCCAATGCCCTTGCCTCTCTCATTCTCCTCCCATCTTCTTTTGTCTTCCACAGGTACCCTTCCTTCTCTCTCTCTCTCTCTCTCTCTTCTTTTTTCTATCTGCAATACTCATCCAACCATTTCGTTTGTTTGCTTTGCAGATCAGAGCGTCCTCCACTCACTTTCTCAATTCTCTGTTGGTTTTTCTTGCTTGGCCTTCTTGGGTATGTGAAATAAATGAAAACTACGATGTGGGTTTTTCTTTTTGTTCTATTTTCTAATTAATTCTTGTATCTTTTCAATCTCCATGGTGCATGCATGAGTGACAGATTCCATTGAATAACTGTGGTTTGAGGGTTTGATTGATATTTCACTCGTATGCAGTTGCTTTGCCCAGATTTTTGGGTATGCTGGGATATATTATAGCTCGCCTACTCTTGGAACTGCCATGCTCAATCTCATCCCAGGCCTCACCTTCCTACTTGCTGTTGCTTTCAGGTTCTTTTCTCCTCTATCCTGTAGTTTTGGTTGTTGCTGCTCAATCTGATAACTTTTACAGTGTGATCTTCTGTTGTCACAAAGGTGCTCATTTCCCTGTTCTTTTTCATTTTCCCTTTTTGTGATGATGTTAGTTGATCATTCATGGAACTAATGCCATTTAATTCAATTAGATTAAGGATAAAATATATAGGTGGACATAGGAAAAGAAGGACTGAATATAACAGGGGGAAAGACTGGATCCATAGTTTGAAGTAATATGTCTGCAGCCTTCATTTGTGGTTTGTTTGTTTACCTCATAATTTCTCTGGGAATTTGATTTTTTGTTTCTGTAATTAAGAGATACGGTTGCTTAGAGGAAACAGATTGCAGTCCCCAGGAGGTTGCCTGCTCTTATTAGTACAGAAGGGCATACATGGGAATTCGTATAAATTACAAATTTGTTTAATCTGCTTGCCGTAAATAGTGAAGTTATCACCTTTATGAGCTGCTTACAACTGAGGTTCCTTATTATGACAGTTTTTTCTGCTTTTCATTCTCATTTTGAAACTTTGTTGGTTTGCCAAGGACCAATACTTAATACCTTTTAGCCAACAATTGTCAAGATGGACTTATAGCTAATGTTAGGTATTGTCATGACATTCATATTGGTGATGGAATCTGAATTCTAAGTGTTAATTGAATCCAGGTAATAGATGTGGTGTAGGAATCAGAAGAAATTTCGGGGTGATTATGGTTCTTGTTAGGTTTTTTCTTTCATTTTTTTTCCCCTAAAAAGGAAAATGAAAGATAATGAAAAGAATGCTATACTTTCATTTGAAATCTATGTGGTTGGGCTTAGCTCCTGTTTTTGTCCAATCCTTTTCCCTGTTATATGTCGATACATGAATGAGCGGAATTGACTATTTACATACTTGTCATGCATACAATATGGTACAAGTCCAGTTATGTAACAGTAGCAGATGGGTAAAAGATTTAATAATATAGATGGACCTAAATTGAAGCATTTGATGATTTTAGGATGGAAAAGCTGCATTTGAGAAGTAGCAGTAGCCAAGCTAAATCACTGGGTACTATAGTGTCAATTGCAGGGGCATTTGTTGTGACTTTCTACAAAGGCCCTTCAATTTTGATGTCATCGTCACGTGCAAGCTCATCTCATCAATTTCTCTTGCAACAGTCAAATTGGACTTTTGGAGGATTTCTCCTTGCAGCTGATTGTGTGTTTGCTTCTGCCTGGCTTATTGTTCAGGTGTAGTCCTCTTCTGTGTAGGTGTATAGAAAGTTGAAGCAGATTTTTTTATCATTTCTTACCTTAAGAGAAAGGAAATGATTTGTATTTGCTATCTTTCAGGCATCAGTCCTTAAGAAATTCCCAGCTGAACTTATTGTTGTCTTCTATTATTGCTTCTTTGTTACACTTCAGTCAGCAATTGTCTGTTTGGTCACGGAAAGAGATCTTAGATCTTGGAGCTTTAAACCTGATGTGAGATTGGTTGCTGTTCTATACTCTGTAAGTGGTGAGGGTCAGAATTATTCATTGTAACTTAGCTGTTGGGTTCTGCATATCTTTTCTGTTTTTGTTTTATTTTTTTGCCAGAAGCTGTTGGGTTCTGCATGCTTACCTATTTTGCACCTAGTTAATCAATAACTTTATTATGGGAAAATGTAGGCTGTTTTTGGCTCTGCATTCCAACTTGGGGTTTCTACCTGGTGCCTGCATAGGACAGGGCCTGTTTTTGTTGGCATGTTCAAGCCTTTGGGAATTGTCATTTCAGTTGTCATGGGAGTTATCTTCTTGGGGGATACATTCTATCTTGGAAGGTAACGTATTCATCACTCACTATAGCTGTTATTGCAATAGTTTATCTGTTTGTATAGTCATTACAACTACTGCAGCTGCCACTGCTGCTTTCCATCTGGTTTCTGTTTAGAGCTCTTTTAAGCTGTGGGATGGAGATGGGGGTTTTGAGTTTTATATCTCATTTATCGTGTTGGTCTTTCTTGTGTTATCCACCTTTTCATTACTTATAAAAGAAAGTAAGACATATAAGTTACTAATTTTGTTTCAAAAATGTTACAGTTTACTAGGAGCAATTGTCATTGTTGCTGGATTTTATGCTGTGATGTGGGGAAAAGCCAAAGAAGGAAAGATAGATGTGTATGCTCAGGGGATGAGATTGGAATCAAGCAGTCAAAAAGTCCCTCTCTTGCCAAATAATACTGCAGAAACTTAGGAGCTTTTTGTACAGTCAATCAAAGCAGGCACCTCATTTTGAATGTAGTAAGTTGAAGTTAAAAGCTGCCATTATGTCATCTTCATCTAATCTTGGGGCTTTAGATCACTATAATCTTGGTTCATCTCCAGATAAAGCCCATTTGAGTAAAGCTCAGTCTAAATAATGTAGGCAACTGTGGACCTAAGGTAGCCTATCTTTCTATTACAAGCCAGCCCACTGGACGTCATGGCCAATATCTCAAGCTGCCGTTGTTCATGCCCTAGGAATTGAATAGTAGTAATCTTCAGTGCGAATAGATCATGCAATTAAATAAATAAATGAAGTCATCCACTTTTTGTTCTATATTTATTGTGAAATCATCAAGTTTATAATGAGGACCTAAGATTTTCTATGGTATCTTTTTGGATATGCACTTTTACCTTTTACATTAGTTCTTAATCTCATAGTTGTAGCCCAGGGCATATCCAGACTTCATTACATTGCACATGGTGTATATATAGCATTGGGTTGAAGGTTGAATAAAGTGTTGAAAAGCCATTCTCGTACAGTTTTAGTTTAGCGTAGATTTAATTGAGTTGGTAGCATTGATCATTATAGTAATTGACATGTCAGATTTCAAATTTATCTCAAGGTTCTGAGAAGTATTTTTTGTCATTTACATATATATCCAATATTGTCGGCAAACATTACGTCAGGTTGGTATTGATGGTCGGTTTGAATTAGCCATAGCTTTCTCTGTTGGTATGATGCAGAACAACATTCCAGTTTCATCTTGTATCATATTCAAATTTGAATTGCCCCCTTCTGTCTGTCACCTGATGCATTCTAATCCACAGAGTGGTTTTCTCGTATTTCCTCTTAATTTATGGGCCAGGAGACAATGTATAAGGTTATTTCCAAATAATATCTGCCGCCTCCATGTATGAGAAGACAACTTTAATGCCTAGCTTTTATCCTTTTGAAACATTGAAGCATGCTTTGCAATCTGCCATATTCTTTTTTATTAGCTATCGGTCAACGCGTTGATAATCTGCATGTTTTTCCTTTTACTTTTTTGGGCTTTTTTTTTTTATTTCCTGTAATGAGTTGTGCAAATCCTTAACAATTTGAGCATATGGCACTTTTGAAGTTCCAGTTGTTATTGTGAGTGTTTTGCCTGCACCTGAAGGGAGGAAAAGTCTAATAGAATCGATGTGAAGGCCATTAAGATATTGTTTGTGTAATGCAGGGTCATGGATGTGGGAGGCACGATTGTGGATGTGAGCGTTGCACAGAAATTTCAGTTGTAGTCAGCAGGGTTATGTAGTAAACTAAAACAACAGTCTTGCTTCAGCTTTAGACATTAGGGGAAGTGCACTGCATCTCAAATCCAGCCATATTGTTACTATTCCTCTCCTCTTCCAATAACTAGGTAATACATTGCAATTTCAGCACTTTGTTTATTAGAGAGGTGAAGAAGTTTTGTGATTTCTAGCAGAGTGGAAATGGAGAAGCTAGCTTCTCAAAAATAGAAAAGAATGATGGGGATTAAAGGATTATAAATTGATATCTCTATCGCACGGATGCGAATCATTCCAATATTTAATACCATGGAAGCATGTTTTGCACATCAGACATCCTGTCTGATATCCGGAATGATGATATGAAGGGAAGGACCATGACCAAGCTCTCATTCATATCCTCCTCCATAAATTTATAGGGAATTCTGACGTCTAATGGGTGGCTATAAGTTTATCAGCTACACCGATTCAAAACTGTAATGAAAAACGTCATGCTTTGCTTTTTATTCTTTTTTAGTGGTAATTGCCTCAAATTCTTTGTCTATAAATCCAAGGGAAACGATAGATTCCCGGGAGGACCAACTAAGGTAGAAAAAGGAAATAGAAAAAGATTGGCGCCTAGATGTGGGTGACGGGCCCTCTGGTGTCAACTGTCAAGATTGGGACATGGAACCTTGCAGGCAGATGCAACTTTCAACACCTGTATTACAGTCGATAACATCTGCCAAGTAGCTGAATGGCAAAAGTTGAGATCACTCCGTTTAACAACTCACTTGTACTAGTGATCATCCGTTGAGAAACCAAATTGGACAAGCCTTGCACCTCATCTACCTTGCTCACTCCCTAACAACTTTTACTTGATCGTGTGATGATAACTTAAACTATAAATATTTTGTTCTGTTTAATTTACTGAACCACCAGCAAGGCTTCTTCATATATATCTGAAATCTTTAATTATTTACTACCATCTGGTCCAAAACAGCGGCAAACGGGTTCCTTGAGTAGTAAACTAGGTTAAATTCTCTTATCAACGATCTGGAAGCTAATGAAATACTGAAATGGTAGCAAAATATTTATTCATTTCTTCCATTAGCCGCGTTTGATCATTCCCTGACCCTCAGCACCAGACCCAATACAAATTTGACCAATCCAAATCCAACCAAACCTAAGATTGTTTCCTTGTGATGAGAATCAAGAGTATCACCCTTGGCCTCTCGAAAAAATCTTAAAGATTTGGAGATGTTTAGGTCCCCTGTTATTTTAGGGCAACTGGGTGGACCCGTAGGCTTATTATAATGCTTTAAGGTAGGGCCACCATCAATGTCGACCACAACTCCAAACGGACCAACCCCGTCAAATAAAAAACATTTTAGATTATGACTCATTGTTGGCTCTTAAACACTTGACAAAAAAAAAATAACATAATATTCAAATAAATTTTTAAATTATTAAAAAATATTTTAATAACTTTTTATTTTTTTATTCTATTCAAATAAACTCTCGTATTTTTATTTTAAATAAAATAAATTCTTATAATTAATTATTATTTATAAAAATATTATTTACTATTTTATATTCATATAGTACTGATATAATATTGATGTGAAAGATAAAAAATACCACATGATAATTTTTTCATGTTAAATTAATATGTCATATTATCATCAATTATAATATATCAACATATCACATCAAAATTGATTATAATATTATAATATATGATGTTAACGTCACGCGATATATAATAATAAACAACCTTTTTACTAAGTTAACCATTAGTTAGAAACTTATTTGATTTGAAATAAAAAATATAAAAATTTATTTGATTCAAAATAAAAATATAAAAACTTAATTAGACATCATAAAAATATAAAAATTTATTTAAATTTTTTTAATAATTTAGAGATTTATTTATGTATTATAAAAAAAGTATAATGTTTTACTGAAAGACAAAATAGAGTAAAACTTGAAGGCAAAGTCTTTAATCAAAATGAAACCAATGTTTCTGTTGTAGGTAAAAACAAAGAAATGAATCCCAGGTCAGCATCGCCCCCTCTGCTTGGAGCTGGAGTCAGTCACCCGAGTCGCCTTTTCTCTCCCAAGTAGCTTCACCAATATTTGAAGGGTTATTCTCGCTGTCTTCTCCTCACAAAAGAAACTCTGATCTTTCTTCATAAATACCCCACATACAAGCAAGCACGAGGCCAAAGAGAGACAAAGAGACAGAGAAAGGGAGAACAACTTTGAGTTTGCTTCGTGACAGGCTTGATAATTTCTTCGTGATCTCTTCTTCTTGTTCTTCTTGCTGTTTGTTTTGAACAGCCAAAGGAGAAAACATGGGGGTACTGAGAGAGAAAATGGGTGAAGTGGTACCGTTTACACTGATGGTGATAATGGAGGGCTGCACCATAGGATTGACGATATTGGCAAAAACAGCCATAACAGGAGGGATGAGCCCTTTTGTTTTTGTAGTGTACACCAACGTTATTGGCTCTCTCTTGCTACTCCCTTTTTCCTTCATCTTTCATCGGGAAAGGTGTCTCCTCTTATCTTTCCCTTTGTATATCACTTGCTTCTCATACCTTGACACTACCTTGTTTGCACTTCTTTATCTTCGTTTCTTTATCATTGCAGAACAGAACAGTCGCTCCTTACCTTCCCGCTCCTCGTGCGCATATTTTTCCTGGGTTTAACAGGGTATGTTCCTCTTTATTTGCTACAGTAGTAGGCGTAGTTCTAAGTATGCATAAATGTTCCTGAAGGAACAAATGTCAATAACTATGGTTTGGGATCTTCCTTTTGCAATTTTCTAATTAAGTTACTTCTTCAAGGCTTTAAGTGACATTTGGCTCTTTTTGGCCTTTTATGGTGTTGATTTGTAGCATAGCTGTATCTCAGAACCTTGCATTTGTTGGGCTCAGCTATAGTTCCCCAATCGTTGTATGTGCAATGGGCCTCCTAACACCATCTCTTTCCTTCTTGCTTTCTATCATTCCCAGGTTCTTAACTTTCTCCAAGCCGAACTTCTTCTTTTTTTTTAAAAATTCAGTTCAATAAAAGAAGACTACTATAAAACGGCATCAATATAACAAAGTTAATATTCATATTTTTTTTAATTGGAGGAAGAAGATTCTAATCAATTAATGAGTCAAATATTCATGTGCCAAGTTAATATTCATATTTGACAATTAACCATATGATGATACATCAATCATGTTTTTGAGTTTTGATGCAATTTATTTATTTATTTATTTTTTGTTTTTGTATGTACTATATAAAGTATTTAAGGTTCAAATACCAATAAAGCTCTTTTGTTTTCCAAAGTTGTTTAGATAAGTTATTCTTATTCTATTATACTCCATTAAGATGTTAAAGTAATATTTTTATTTAATTGAGCATTTGTTTTAGATGAAAACTTTTAAAATTCTTAATTTTTGCACTTCCATGTCTACATGTCACAGACATGGTATAATAAGGGCTTCTTATATTTTGATATGACAGTATGTAAACCAATATTACATGTCATCTAAGCATCATCTAAGCATAATTTTTCATATTTTGCCACATAGAGATGATATGACAAATCATGTAGATGTTAAAATAGTAAATATACCTGGTTTTCATTCAAAATAAAAAAAGCTTAATTAAATAAAAATAATATTTTAATACTCAAAATTGAGTACAATAAAAGAATATGAATAAGTTTAAAAATTTGGGAAAGTACAAAAATCCTTTAAACAATTTTTACTAATAAATGTACAATAAATAAGTTAAAATATCCATCAATTAATTTTTTCAATATTTTGTAATGCATTTGTCATCACCTTTAAATTTAATTACGCACTTTAGTATTTGACTCATTAGTTAGTGTATTATCCCTTACTTAAAAAATAGAGTTCGAATCCCTTTTTTTCAATTAAAAGAAAAACCTTTAAATGAAATTATTTGTTATAAATTCAAACAGGAAAATAATAATTGTAAATATATTAATAGTATTGATGTATTCGAGAATTTGACTTATGGTTGATATATAATCTTCTTATTTAAAAAATAAAATTTGAATCTTTCTTTTTCTAATTGTAACATATATATATATATTAATAGTATTGATGTCAAAAAAAAAAAAAGATTGGAGTTGAGTCCATTATTATATTTTAAAGCTCGACCCATCTTAGATTAAAGACCTAAGCCCCAAGAAAAAACAATCATTGGAACAGTTTTTGAGATTTCATTATCACAGGAGGACAAGGCCAAATTGGAGAAGCTCCAGCAGCCAAGCCGAAGTGACGGGCACCTTGATTTCAATAATGGGTGCTGTTGTAGTAGAACTATACAAAGGCCCGTTTATACGAAAATCCTCTTATTTCTATGCCCACCAACTTAAAGTTATACCAAAGCGTTTGGTTTTCTACTCGGCGCCAGACAATTGGATCCTTGGTGCTATTCTGCTTGCGGCTGCCTCCTTATCTGTTGCAATATGGAATGTTATTCAGGTACAATATAATTCAGTCCACAAATAAAACTCGCAACATGGCCCCCCCAACTTTTATCATTCCCTTTCTTTTATCTCACAAGCAATATTGGAACTGTTTGTGATTCCTAATTGTCAGCTGGGAACCGTCAAACAATATCCACAAGTGATGAAAGTGGCCTCTTTTTATAGCTTAGCAGGGACTATCCAATGTCTGGTCTTCTCGTTGATTATGGAGAGAGACCTTAATGCTTGGAAATTGAAACTCAACCTGGAGCTCCTACTCATTGTTGTGACAGTAAGAAGGAAACACCTGAATTTCTAATAGGAGACAAACCATTAATTAATGACTAAGAACTAATAGGTTCAATAATTACGTTTATAGGGAGTCTTTGGGAGTATCATCCGTAGCAACGTTCATTTAGCATGCTCGCGAATGAAAGGCCCTTTTTATGTGCCTATGTTCAAGCCATTTGGGATAGTCTTTGCAACCTTTTTTGGCGTCACCTTTACAAACAGTCTTCATTATGGAAGGTAATTAAATCTTTTCTCTGTTATTTTCCTCATTTCTCAGCTGCTTTAACCAGTGATGGCATTAAGCTTTGAGAGCCAAGTTTTCTTATAGGGCAACAACATGTATATTAGAAATTAAACTTGAAATCTGATGAATGATAGCTTCCACTTCATTCCTAAGGTTCCAGCTTCCTGGTCCTCCAATTTCCTTCAAATAAGCAAAAGTTATAGGTATTATACAAGTTTTCATGTACATTTCTTATTACTGTCTCAGCATTATCTGCATGTTAAAACCATGAGGATCACAAATACTAGGGTCTCCTCATCCTTTTCCTTCATCTTCCTAATATCTCAACTCTTCCATCTTATTACACAACATTTTACAGTGTAATAGGAACATTAATAACCGGAATGGGATATTATGCTGTGATGTGGGGACAAATAAGAGAAGAGGAACTGCGTAAAGAGCGTGACGTTGAAAGAACCGATGATTCTTCAGACCAGATCAAGGCCCCTCTCTTGCAGAAGCAGGAAGAAGCCCAAGTCTAGAGCATAAATACAACAATTACTGAATGCAAGTGGAAAGCCTTCCTTTTTTTTTTTTTTTATTTAATGAAAGCTTCACCAGCAAGTGGCCTGATCACTCAAATCAAAAGGTGCTTTGATTTGCTAGAAGCACTTCAACTACCAGTAAACACATGCGATATGAAGGCCATTTACTGTAAATTGTAAATCTTCTGGCTTGTTGTTTTCCCCCCCTGCTTGCTGGAGGTTTTTTGAGGACAGCGTCATCAAGTTTTAAATGACTCTGTCAAATATGGTTTCTGCTTGAATAAAAACTGTAAAATCACAAACCATGTCTTCTGTATATTTTGGTGTCTTGGAACAGTTAAGGTTTCTTTGATTTATTTAGCTCACCTTTTTTTCACTTCTTCCTTTTGCTGTATTTTTCTTTTTTAACAAAACATATACTAATAGATTAAGTCAAAATCCATCATTGCAAGAGAATCTACCAAAAGCAGAAGTAATAGAAGAGTGGTAAGACTTTTGGTTTCTTCATGGCCGATGTCAATTCCTATTCTTGATTCTTAAGTTTGTAACTAGAAGCTCATCAACAATGAAATCCTGCTCATAACGCAGAGAACATCTGGTACTCTGCGAAAATTGCAAGCAGAAGGAAAACCATCATCTAGTGCCGATTGCTACTTGGCTTAACTCGAGTTTTAGTAATAATTTGACCATTAAATATTATTATGAAGGAATACTTGCAGCCCAATCTCAGTGCCTATTGTGCATTCTTTATTTATGTACACTTTCTACTTAAAACTTTCCTATTTTATATATTTCAATCGAAAAGATGTCGAATCAAGATAAACTATCGAATTAAGCTGAACTTAACCAATTCAATTCAGTTTTGATAAGATTTAAGTTACTTAATGTAGTTGGTTTGATCCAATTCGTCGATTTTGATGTTTAAAATTCTCAATCAAACGAGTCAAACAAATGGACCTTAATAATACATTTTTTATCCTAAGTCCTGATTCCTTCAATTCTTCTCCCTTCTTCAGGAATCATTAATTAATGATATATAAAATAGTTAACTTAATTAATTGTCAAGGGCATGCGTATCATTAATTGTTTGCAACTTATGACAATTTACTTTAATAATAAGAATATTTTCAATTAAGGACTTCAATGTTAATAAGGAAATAAAAGGATAGTAATCTATTTTGATTTAATAAGAAAGAAATTAATTAAAGATAAAATAATTAATTTAATAAAATATTAAAAGTATATATGTCATTCCTTATATGTATTTTTTGAAATTCAGGCCTTTTATATATAGTGTACAAGTGTACATGCGTGTATACAAATATTTTATTTTGAGTTTTTCGTCATGCAGCCTTTAGTCTTTCTATTGTTTTGCCATTGTATTTAATTAGGATAAGTCCTTCCTTGATATAATTTGGTCGGCTCCTCATGTATCAAAGAAAGTTTCATTATTAACTAATTAGGATTGTTATTTTAATCAAATATCCTTGAATTGATACTTGGATAAGTTTATCAATTATCTTTGGATAATTGGATTGCTAAATAGTAGTAGTAATTTGTCAACCAAAAAGGGGAAAAATAATGAACAGATATCCAATATCTATCCTAGTCAATTATTCTATCACGGTAGAAATGGAACTCCTTTAAATTAAAATAGACAATATAGGGATAATTAAGAAAACCCAATACAATAAGCCAGCTTGAAAATAGGACGCAACAGAGTGATAAATACTGTTCCTTGTCTCTTCTTGCTAGCAAGAGGTCACTACTCAAGAAGGTGAGCTAATTAAGGACCGAAGTAGGAACACCCTGCATTATTATTTACTAATAAAACATAAGACGGCCCATTAAAAGAGGTAGTTGGCCTGCAGGCCTCTAAGCTTTGGTGTGAATATAGTCATCGATCTCCACAAAGTTCTTCACTGCAAATTCCTTAATCACGCTTGGGTCAGGGATCTCTTCACTTGCCTTCTCAAATTCACAGGACCATTGAACCAAGCTCGACTCTCCCTTGGGAATGACAATGATCTTGCCAATGAAAGTCTTGTAGTATTGCGTGAGATCCCCACCAATGATGCTGTACACATATATCTTCCCCGCTTCATCCACAGATTCAATTCTCTCTTTGGATACCTTAACGAGTGGAGAACCTAAAAGGACAAAAATTTTAATTTGATCCACAATAATTTAGTTATTCATTTGCATCAATGCCTCCTATTGCTTTAATTAGGTGTCGAAGAGGGTGGACTTCATACTCTTCATAAAGTCAAAACTTCGTAAAATTTCCTTGGCTCAAGTTCAATGTCCAAAGAAACTGCTATAACGTAACTTCACACAAGCATGGGCACTTAAATCAACTTCTAGGAAATTGTTAAAATCCGTGGCTATAATGGTACTACTTGCATCGTAATTAACTTGTATCATATATATTATGGAGGAATGCAATTATAATTAACTCCAACAATTAATCTTCTGTTATCCAAGAGTGCAAATAGTATAAAATGTCAATTAATTGACTAATATGGTTACTCAAGGACACCTAAATTTTACCTTCAGCATAATTGATGAGGCGGATAGATCCAGGGGCCTTGCCATCGCCCTCTAGCACTTGAATGCTCTTGTAATCATGGGACAAGGCTTCAGGAAAAATTTTGGTCGAGTCCCTAATAGTTCCCCAGACCTTTTCTGCAGGAGACTTGAGCTCAACCTCCACGTGAAGCTTCCCACTGCAAGCCATTGCTGTATGGTATTAAAAGCTAGGAAAGCAAAAAGGAAAACCGTAGTTCAGAATGGTGTCTTGACTTACGGTTTAGCATATATATAGGCCTGTATTTATAGTAGTAGAAGAGATAGCTTGGTTTCTAAATGAGAACTGAAGGTATTGAATTTCTCTGGTACTAACTCAACTGCCCCGTTGCATTCGGCCACACACAAGGCGCAAGCACGCAAATAGCGAGGGAGACGGTCGGGCCCCATAAATTATTCGGTTCATTGATGCAATTTCAAAGCTAGTGGGTGAAAGGAATAACTATGGCAGATTAATATATCTACTGTTTATTATTCATTTATAGCCATGTCGGTGTGGCAGGTGAGGCCCGACTTTAAACTCATGATGAACATATTAATTCGCTTCACTTATATATGTCACGCTTACCAAGTTTAAATGTTCATATTAACAAATGTTGGCTTCCCCAACAAGTGTTGTCGGTGCCATGATGCATGATTTAAGAACTAACAATGGTAAAACTTTGCTAACATTTCTTTTTTAGCTAACTTCTCTTCAGAAAGATATATCGGCTTCCTCGACTGTCACGGCCTCTTGAAAATCATGTCATTGAAGTGAATGGCAATACTGTCAAACACGGTTGGGGGCTTAATCAATAAGTTGCAAAAGTAGAAACTAATTGGTATTATGCCGACCACCGTCGAGGTGCGTGGATGTTCTTAGAAACTAGTCAGTTCCCGAGGTTGGCAACAATGTCAATCTTCTTCTTTTTGTCACCATTATTGTAAATTTCATACATGTAGAGCATATATGAAACTTTTGCTTTATTCTTTTTTTTTTCTTTGGTTCAAGAACCTTTATTTCCATTAAAATTTTCTATTAACATGCACCCAAGTTATCAAATTAATTTATGATCTTAAAACATGTTAGTAAATGGTTATTTCAAATAATGAACTAATGTACAATTGCAAATATGTTTAAATTTCATTTATGTAATTGACGACAACAATATTATTTTATATATTATTGATAAAACTTTTAAATTTTGCAAATGAAATTAAAATGTTCACGCATGTCAGTTCACTTGTTATATTAATTTCTTTAAATATAATCTCATCGACATGTAACAACTTTTTAATTCTACTTGTGAAATTTAAAAACTTCACCAATAATACATAAGATAATAATCCATTTGATAAAAAATTATTTAATTTTCACATTAGATGCCAAATTAATGTCGAAATCTACCGTGTAATAGAAATCTCCGACCCCTTTATGTACCCCATTGGTGCCCCCTTTCTATTATAATGCCAAGTATCAATTTACATTATGTACAGATAACGGCAGTTTAATGCCGTCTTCAGCTCCTCTTCTGTCTTTGTTTCTATTTCTTTTTGTCTTAGGGAAGAAGAAAGAGTACAAGCAGAAGCAAACCTCCGTTTACAGAGCTCACAGAAGAACAAAGAAAATAAGCAGAAGCAAACTAACATTGTCAACATTCACTGTCAACAAAACCAAGCTCATGTAAATTGATTTATCTTTTACCTAATGTCTATTTTATTTAAATAAATAGAAGAATAAAGAAAAGAAATTTAAAGCTTAACTAGCCATTCGTTCACTATTTAAGACTATTTCACTACAAAAAAAAAACAGACTTTTTTCGATGAAATTTTCTATAAGAAATAGATAAGTTTTTATTGGAAATGCTTTTTTCCGACAAATTTTCAATGAAATTTTTCGTTAGAAATTCCATATCTGAAAGTGTTGTAGAAAATAATTTTCATCAGAAATTCGTCAAAACTCCAATGAAAATTTTCATTGGAAATATACATAAATCTATAGAAAAAGAGCTAAATTTCAATATATTATTTTTCACAAAATTTGTTGGAAAATACAAAAATTTCAACGGATTCACAAACGGCATTTTCCATTGGAAGTTTCGAATAGACATCTGACGGAAGTTTTCGTGGAAAGTTACCAATGGATTTCCAACAGAATTTTCTATTCAAAATTACCAACAGATTTTCCTTTGGAATTTTCCGTTGGAAATTTGCAACGGAAATTTTCATTGAAAAATCTATTAGTAATTTCTAATGAAATTTTCCATTGGAAATGCTCTGTCAATGAAAAATTCTGTAGGAATCCTCAAAATTGCAAAATTTGTCATTAATATAATCATATTGCAAATTAATAAAAATAATTTACACAGCTTACAATTAACATGTAATTAAAATATTTAATTCAAAGTCGAGTTAGTAGAATTGAAAATCATTACAAATACACAATATGCAAATATAAAAATAAAGTTAAATGTGCTATTATATGCCATATTAAAAAAAATATCTAAGTTAAATTAGGAAAATAGGCTATTATCATGAAATGTCACCTTACTTATCAAAATCTGAACTTGAAGTACTCACATGGCCTTTTTTTGAATGCTTCTTGGTCATCATTGTTTTCATACTTGTTGTAAATTCATTCATGTCTTCAAAATGCTCGGTCATTTGGTCATGCATCTGACTTAGGTCATTTGATAGATTTTTCACCTTTTCTTCCAACCTAATGTCAGGATCAGTGCAAGGGCTAGTTATTGACTCAGATGTTGCTACATCATTAAGTATAGTTGTAACAAGCTTCTGAGAACCAAACCCCATACACATGAGTGTGTGTAGTCATCATCCTTCCAATTGCTTCAGTCCAAGCATGCAGATCAAATTCTAGCTGTGAGGATGAATCGTCATCATGCTTTTGTGATAATGCAGCAATATATGTTTCCTACAAATAAATAAAGTGAGAAGGATTAGAATATAATTTTATTGTTAACTTTAAGTAAAAATTAATCAATTTTGTACGTACATTAATTATTTTAGACTTATTATCTATGAAATCACCATAACCCCTTAAACCTCTATGAGTTCGGTTGAATGATTCCACAAAACTAACATCTCGATTCATCTCATTTGGTTGCATTCATTTACAACTATACTCAATCATAATGTGTATATTTTACATAACATGTAAAGTATATTAGAATATGAAAATATTAGTATGTAAAGCATAACAAATAAATATTAATTCATACCATCCTCTTTGCATGAACAAGGTATGGAATTGAACCACCAATGTATTTTGTAATGCTTCTTGTAATGCTTCTTTCTTTTTGCATTAAACAATTCCTCCTTACTTGCTCTGATTTGTTTTTTCATTCTTTTGTACCCCATACTGTACCGATAAAAGCATCCAAAACTTCATTTGTGATCCATTGCCTTGACATGCCTTTGCAGTCCATGATGTTTTTTGTGTTGGCTTCTTTCTTTGCTTGTGTCCTTTCTTCTAAAAGCAAGTCCCTTAGTTTATTGAAACAAATTTTATTTCATATTCGTCGAACCAAAATATCTTCATTTGAAGCCTAGACAAATTTTTTCTACAATAAAATAATGGAGTAAATAAAAAATTTAATACATAATTAAAAACAAGAAGTTATAATTTAATTGAATATTAAAATATACATCAAATTTCTTAAACATTAAATCCTTAATGTTATTAGAGATTTTTTGTCCATGTCGGCCATGGACTGTGGAAGTGATTTTTTATGATTCTTGTTATTGTCGTGGTGACTCCTGTCTTAAAAAAAGTACCACCACAAGATAAAAGAAAATTATTGTTTAGTAAAATATATAACAGATATAACTATTTCATTATAATATAAGATAATATACCTATCTCCAAGAGGAGTTATACATAATCATTGAGTTGGATTTGTAGGTGTATGTATTCTGACACCATGCCTTCTACCCCTTGACCTTGAGGATGTACCATCTCCACTTACACCTAAATCAACGGATGTGGATTTATAAGGATCATGGGCAAATGTCAAATTGATTACTAGCTCTATACATGCATCAAACGAAAAAAGTGACTCTAAGGGCACATCATTGGCCTGCTGTCTCTGTGGATGAGTGGATGGATTAAGAAATGCACTAACATTCGTAAGTGACAACATAGATCCAGAAGCATTTGTTGCTTGAGGTCTTGATTTAGAATGCTCCCTTTTAACCATTATTCTTGCAATTTAATGAAATATTCATACATATGCTAAAAGAAATTGAAACAAACTATCAAGGTCGTCATCAAAATATAAGAATTAAGACTAATTCTCATTCATGTTTACAATAAAAAATGTTAACAAAACATGCCATATAAGCTAAAAGAAATTGAAACAAACTATCAAAATCATCATCAAAATGGAAGAATCAAGACTAATTCCCATACATGTTTACAATAAAAAATGTTAACAAAAACATGACATTCTAACATACATTTCAATATTTTAAAATAAAAATATAAATAATATAATAACATATCAAGATTTTTCAATAATATTAATAATAATAATTAAGTTAAACAATTATATAAGAAAAGATACAAAACCAATAACATATATTTCTAATATCATTAATCGCTTTCAGAATAAGCAAACTCATGTTCTTCATGGACTTCATTCTGATTGCTATCAATAAAGTTTTTTCATCTTGGTCCTCAAATTCTTCTTCACATATCTCTTTTGCATCTTTTTCCATGTCATCTTCTTCGTCTTCAATCAAGACATTAACCTCTTCTTAATCTCCACTTGTTAATATTGTAGGGATATCAAGGTCCTCAGAAAGAGTAATATTAATTGGAATAGACACATCATCTTCTTTGTACACTTCTTCATTCAAATCAATTTCATTTTCTTTGTCTCCATTACATGGAAGGTGATATCAACTCCTAGCTTTTGTTTTAAATACTGCCCACCAATCACGTCAATCTCTTTTGGATGACCGGTAACTACTATAGTAAACTTGGTGAGTTTGTACAACTAAAACAAATAGTTCATTCGTAGCAAGCATAGAGTTGTGCTTAATTTCAATAAGACCATGAAATGGGTTTATCCTAACACCTTTTTCAATGTCAAACCAATAACACTAAAATAGCATAACTCTACTTCCGATACCAAAATATTCCAACTTGATTATCCACCAAGAAACCATAAAAGTCACGCTCATAATCATTATAAAAACCCTCTTCTACACATACCCCACTATTCATTATTTTACGATTTTGTCCATAATCTAAGGTGTCGAACTTGAATCCATTTACGAAGTATCCTTTGTAACACCTTGCCATATGAGAAATTTCAAGCATACATGGTTCAGTTTCATCCTTACGTTCTGTGACCTACCAAAATATAATACAAGAGCATTAATTGTTAATGCACATTAGTAATGCCTATTTATTATTAAGTGGCAACTAATAGATTGCACATAAACTTACATATTCTTGGAACCATTGTACAAAACTTGCATTACGTATTTTCTCCAATTCATCTTCTGATATATGGACAACATCTCTTTTCACCATTTCATCAAATATCTTAACATTACATCCACATTACAAATCAAGATTATCTTATATAATTTATTAAGGTTTAAGGCATAATGGTACTTACTCAATATATAGAAGAATCTCACTGCAATTCACTAAAACATATAGTTTGGTGGCATATAACTTATCTTCGTCTAAAAATAGAGATTTATCTAGTTGACCAAAAGCTCGCCCAAGATGAGTGAAAATTGAAAGACAACCTTTAGAGTCCATATCTCCCCCATCATCATTACTTGGCATTTGATTTAATCTTATTCGCATAGCAGGTTCAAAATACAAAGAGCAAAACAATGAGACTTCCTCAATAACGTATGGCTCGCATATAGATCCTTCCACAAAGGCTCGATTTTTCACTTTCTTCTTCAAATTATGCAAAAACCTAACCATCATAATATTCATAAAATTTAATAAGTACTCTAAACTCTTCTAATGAAATAATTGAAATCTAATAACAGATATAGTACTTCTTAAATGGACACATCCATTGTTACTAAACAGGTCCACCAACCCTAGCCTCGTAAGGTAAGTGAATCGAAAAATGCTTCATATAGCCAAAAAAACTAAGAGGAAAGATTTTTTTTTTAATTTGCATATAGCTTTAATAATTTTTCCTTCCAAAGCTTCCATGTGATCTACGGGGTATTTTGATTGAGCATAAATCTCTAAAAAAATGAGATATCTTAGTAATTGCATCCCGAATTGAGTTAGCACCGTATCATGAAAGGTAATTAGGAGCAATCGCTATAAAAAAAATGACAATCATGACTTTTCATCCCATAAAATTTGCATTTGATCTCATTAACACACTGAGATATGTTTGACATAAAACCATCAAGTAATCTCAATTGTGTCACCCAATCACAAACAATTTTTTTTTGTCCTTACTTAAAGTGTACAAGGCTTTAAGTTTGAAAATTTTTCATTATTTTTCACCAATTTCAATTATGGACGCCTGCAATACACCTTCAAATCTTGTCTTGTCTTTAAGTTGTCTTGTCTTCCCCTTAACATCCATCATAGTGTTGAAGATATTCTCAAAGAAATTTTATTCAATATGCATCACATCTAGGTTGTGACAAATAAGAAGCATATGCCAACAAGGTAAATCTCAAATTTGTCTTATTTTTCATCTAATTATGAGTTTGATCAAAACCAAGAATCTTCTATTCACCACATTTTGTTCCAATGGGGATATCAAGAGGTGAATTCAACCGTAATAACATTTCTTCACTAAAGATTCAAAGAATCAGGAAGTCACGCTAGACTTTTTTTTTAAAAAAAAATTATCTTTCTACTTTCTAAAAGCATGATTAAGTAGCAAGAATTGTCGATGACAATAAAAAAAAGAAGGTTTTCTGTTATGCTTCAATATAAAAGACTTGGATCATTCCATACAATAAAGACATGATAATCATCCATGAATGCTCCACCCCAACAACATACCATAAGTAAGAAAATCATTTATTGTCCATAGTAATGCCGCCCTTAATTGAAAATTTTATTTCCGATAAGCATCATACGTGAGAACACCCTCGTTCCATGATGTTTTCAACTCATCTATTAAAGGCCTCAAAAAAACATCTATGTTTTGGCTTGGACTTTTCCTACCTATAATAACCATATTAAGAAATATATATTATTGTTTCAAACACATCCATGAAGATAAATTGTACACAATGAGTATTACTGGCCAAACAGAATAAGGTTTTGCAGTTTGTCTAAAAAGATTAAAACTAGCTGCACATGATCCTAATATGATATTTTTAGATTCCATTGCAAATAACTCATGTGTGCAATTGAAATTTTGCCAAGCCTCACCATCAACAGGTTGTCTAAGCACTCCATCACCATTTCGAGTATGCGCATGCCACACCATATGTTTAGCAATTTTTCTCGACATGTAAAGTCTTTGAAGTCTTGTTATAAATGGCAAGTCACGCAAAATCTTATAAGGAATTTTCTTTTGCCTTTCCACACTTGATTTCCTTGGTTTATACCGAAGGTGACCACATATCATCCAATAAACCAAATTAGTAGTTTCCTTATCAAATGAGATGCAATTATTTTTACATGCATGAATTTTGTCATATCCAAGTCCAAGTGTCACCACTTTCCTTTTCATTGTACAAAAGTCACTGGGTAAAGTTTCATCCTTTGGAACATATTCTTTATTATATCCATCAGATGATCAAAACATGACTCACTCAAATTAAACTTTGATTTAACATTTAAAAGTTACAACATTGTTGAGAGCGTTGCATGCTTTGTGCAACCTAACCACAAAGGTTCATCCGCATCACCCAACAAAGAGTAAAAGCCCACTGCATTTGGATTTGGATCTTCTTCCATAGATCTTGAGTCATTATCATGAATAGCATTCAAAACAATTTCTGAACCCATAACATCCCAAAGTATTCTAATATATTAATTTTTTATTTCTTCTTCATACATTGGTTCCCTATATTCCTTATAACTAGAATATGGTTCAACCCCATCTCTCCTTCTTGATGATTGTCTAACTTCATGTTTCTATGTAAACTCCACATTGTGTAAGCACCAATGAAACCCTTTTTTAGAAAGTGCTCTAGCACCTTACAGAACTTAGAAACCAAATGTTGTTACATCAAGAGTAAGGACATCTAATTTTGCTCCTCTGCATGAATGTAGGGTTAAAAGAAGCAAAATCAATAAATTCTTGAACTTCATTCATAAATTCATCCCTCATGAAGCCATTAGGAGGTAGTAATTGATACATCCAAGATCGATCTCTTTCCATTTTGTAGTCCTAATTTGTTTTCATAAAAACAATTGCAAATAAAAGCCAAAGTCGTAATTAGTGCAAACTTGTGAAGAAACCAACCATGCATTCAACATTAATATATATATATAATGTTTTATACATCTATATATTATTGCCTTTTCGATTTTATCTATAAATTAAAAATTAAATTAATAATCTTTTCCATGTTATATTTAGAAATGGCCAACCTTTTGATATTTTATAATTAAGTCTAGGTAATTTCCAACACTATTACATTATTTTTCTTAATATATTTTATCCTTTTGCCAACCATTTTTAAGCACTTTTATAATGGCATCAAACACTATGCAAAATGATAGAAAAGCACCAACCATATAAATTTAATAACTTATTATAACAGAAAATAGCATAGAATAGTTTCAATGCTATATGGCTGATCAATTACTTACAATTCCCAATGCAACACCATTGAAGGCAGTGCAGTACTCAAAACTTGGAGTTGGAAGCTCAAGAGTGGGATAAGCAAAAAGAAAGAGAAAGCTCACTGCAGCCCAAAAGGATGTAACTGAAATAGTAAAAGTAAGCATAAATTAAATTTAAAAACTATATATTACAATTAAACATTCAACTACTATAGCACAAAAGTGGGTGACTCATATAGTAATAATAAAAATAATATTATCAAACGAATATCTTATGTTAACAAAATGCTTTTAAATTACAACGCAAATCTTATTTCATGAAAAATGTGGATTTCTAATCATTGAACTGAGTGTGATTTTACTTCCTTGCTCATCACTTCCTCCAAATATTTTCTTTCAAAAACATCTAACTTATATCCAACTTTACAAATGCAACTGATATTTCTGTACTATAAATACCACGCACCTAATCTATGCATAGTCATAAATTTGTTTAAGTAGTAACTTTCAGTTCAAAGATTATTGAATACACAATCAAGAATATATATATATATATATGTCTCTAAATGTTGTCATCGTCAAGGACATGCATCGTGTGCGTCTTTAACATTGAAAAAATAATAAGAAAATAGCTCTAAAATACCACTTTTTGAGATCATTTTTCATTAACATACCATAATCTACAATTTTTTTATTACAAGTTTGTGACAGCTAAGTTCATCAAACACGTATACTAATTATCTTAAAAGAGAGATGAGAATAATGGATTTTCCTTAAAGGAAAACAGGGTATCAAGAAAGAAAAAGAAACAAATGAGAATATATGGCAAGATTTGATCAAGTCAATTTTTATTCCTATGATTGTTTTTGATAAGATTCGAAAGTATGATCACGATTAGATTTCATGTCAGCTATTTTCTATGATGCCAAATTTTTCTTTGTTGGAGATTATTCTATAATTTGTATATATCATTTAGTCATACCATTACATATATATCATTTAATCATTACATAGTTTGTAATGGAATAGAATGGTCTATCCATGTTTTGTTCCCTTCATGTAATTTTTGTGTAAAAACAGTGAAACAAATGGAGTTTCCTTCCCCCACAAAGTCTAACCATTTGAGTGATTAGCATTGGTTTTGCATTTTGTTCTCTTTTCCCTTTCTTGTTTCTCATTATTTTTTCTTACGCCTATACGGAATTGGACTTTAATTGTTATTGATTTAACAAATAAATTTCAATCTCCACTTGTTGTTGCATCACATATTTCTATTCTTTTTTTTTTTTTGTTAAAGAATTAACAAAGGACTGAACCATATAGAGTCTTTATTGTTATTGTCTAAAATAAATGGCAAGACAAATCATACACGTTTTAATCATTACAATGTAATCTACATGCTATTATAGTTGAATATATATATATATATATGTACATATCATTCAACTATATATTATGCACAAGACACATAACACATAAATTTTCAAAGGACAATTTAGTCTAGTACATATCATTTAACTATATCAGACACATGAAAAAGATAATTTAATCTTCATTTTTGACATCAAATTGAATCAAAATCTATTTTTAATCTAGTGCTAGAGCTTTTTCTTCAAATAAAAGCCATACAACCAAAAATTAGAAGAAAAAAAAAACTCTTGCCTTCCTTAGCAATATAACCAAAATAGAGCTTTGCAGAATCCAGAGAACTAAATATGAAGAAAAAAAAGAGATAAAGAAAACAAAGAGAAAAAGAAAGAAGAATAAGAAAAAGACCTCAAGTTTTTTACCTTAAGATCGAAATTGCAGGGAAATTTAAGAGTTTAAAGAGAAGCTTTTGTCGACACAGCAGTACAATAAAGCAAGATTCAGCCGACAAAGGAGCTGCAACCATCATTTGGCATGGAAAGGGGGCTAAAGGTCAAGGGCTTTCGATGGGTTTCAAATGAAATGGGGATCTAGCTAAAAATTAGGGATTTGAGATTTGGAGGATCTGGTTTCAATAATATATTTTGGATTGTTTAATTTTTCTCAAGTGAATTAGTTATCTGACTAAGTATAGTCTTAGAGTATAAGCAAACTTTTAGAAAATGTTGAATGGGTGATAGGTTTGGTAAAGTCATATTAATTTTTCATCACTCATAAGTTCAAGTTCTTATATCAACAAAATTTAAACATTTTTTATTTTATTAATAATAATAAGCTTTTATTATATTCATATTAAAGTTTACTATATAAACTATAACGATTACAAAAAACAATATCTTTAGATAATCATAATATATTAGA